CCTCGTCAAGCCACTGAGGTGCGGGGTATCCAGCACGTTTATCTTCCCCTTTGAGAGGGATTTAGGGCATCGCAGAGCGGGCAGGATCAAGGGCCAAGTAAACCCCAAGTGTGTGAAGGGAAATGAGTCCCTCGGGGCACGCCTGTGCCCCCCTGCGCCTTGGCAGCGTCCGGGACAGCTCTGGGGAAGCGGGGAGCCCTCGCCATCCAGCCTTTGCCCTCCCGGGGTGCCCAGCAGCCCTTGGCTCGGGCCGGGCTCAGCTGCGCAGGGCAGGGCGCAAACACCGGCGGACGACACGGTGGTTGTACAAACTGCTCTGTGTTGCTCACGCGGAGCTGCCGTGGGGCAGGTCCTGGATAACCTCCCTTTTTCAGTGGAAAAAAAAACCCTCCGGGCTGCTGACACACGCTGTGTCGGGCTCCCGGGCGGGGTGGGGCGGCCTGCCTCCCCCTTTCCCTCCCGTCCCTTCCGCTCTGGCACGGTTGCTCCACGTTATCCTGGCATTTCGTTCCGCAAAAGAAAAAAGCAGCGAGTTGGTTCGTCACGCGAAGCCTGAAGGAGCTCAGCTCGCTGGTTGCCTGCCTCTCTGCGGAGTGGGCTATTTTTAGCTTCCCATCTCGCTGCTTGCGCTAGCATCCCAAATCCACTGCGGCCGCCTGCCTGCCGACCCCGCGGTGCTGCCCAGCACGGCCTGTTTACGGGCTGAACTTCACCTTAGCGTCAGAGGATGAAATCAGAAGCTTGTAAATAGGTGTAATATATTTATTAAGATTTAGGAAGTCTCCATCAATCATGCAATGGGAATTGACTTTCCCATGATGTTTTAAAAAAAGAAATGAGTCTTATTTATATGTGTGTTGGCTGTTTTATCTTTATTAGAGTTAACGCTTTCAGCCCCCTAATCCAGTTCGCCCTCCGTAGGCGTTTTAGAGTGAATTACTGCTGAAAAGAATGCGGGACTAGCACAGTGAGCTCCCTGCCATGAATTTTACAAATCTGTTCATTTTTTTTTTAGCTTTATTAATGTGCCCAAGGTCTGCTTAAATGTATCATAGGAGATCCAAGGAGCGAAAAATGCCACTGGCAGCATCGGTCTCATCGTTTTGTAGCAAATCTGGTTGTGAAGGCAAAACCAGCTCTGCCTGGCGGCGGCGAGGGAAGCAGCGAGCAGGCCCTTGCTGCAGCTCTCGGACCTGACCTCTCGGGTGTTCGTGGTGACAGCGCTGCTTCGGGCGCCTGGTGGGTCTTTTCCCTTTCCCAGTTACTTCCTTTACACAGGGAGGGGTGTTGCCTGGTGAAAATAAAATGCCTTTCCATTGTAGCCCTTGTCTGTGTTTGTTAATTATTCATGTGGAAGCTGATGTAAAGGTTCGCTCTCCTTTTCTTTTTCATGCTTTTATAGTTGTGTAAGATCAGTCAGACATTTCTTTTGGCAAGACTTTTTAATGAAAATGACAGCTGGACACTGGCTGGGCTGGATGAAGGGACGGAAACGTGTCCAAGTACTCTTAGGACAGCAATAAAACTGGTTGTGTAACCTCAGTGATGCGGTCAGCACCCAGTCATCCTTTCCAGCCGCCCCCCTCTGTTACCGGCGCGTTGCTGCTCCCAACGCGGCCGATCAGTAGCTGAGGCGAGCTTGTCCCGCATGTAGTGCAGGCTTTCGGAACCCTCCGTCCCGCGTCTTTGGGAGGGAAATGCTGGCAGCCTTTCGGAGAGGTTTTTGATGGGTTGGTCTTAGTTTTTAAACCAGAAGTGGAGAGAACATTTTTATCACGATTATGTTGTTCTCTCGTCTCTTTCAAGCTCCCCTTTTTCCCCAGGCAAGTTCAGCATCAGCTTCCATGGTTAGTTACTGGCTGCATGCTCGATAGGTTAAAACTAATTTAGAAGCTCCAGCTTTGGACTCCCGATTGCTACCTTCATGCTTTACCTCACCCTGCAGCTCTCCACATCTTTCAGGAATGTCTGTCCTACGAGAGTCTCATCTGTGACACAGCGACAGCACACAGGCATGAGGGACAGGTGCTGCGGCTGTATGCTCTGGTGCTACAGCATACGGATTCTGTTAATGTTACCATGACATTTTACAGTATTTCCATGTTCGTGACTTGGAGCTGCTCTGGTTTCTTTCTTCTTCTTTTGTATGTATGTATCTTAAGGCCAATCTGAGAATGTTCATGAATATTGATTCCAGCTATAAAGATCTGGTTTTGTTGTTTCTGTCTGATTTTTACTGCTGCGTTTCAGATTTTTTGGGTACCTGAAATTACTATTCACTGGACTTTCCTGGTAGGAGAACCAGGAGAGAGTGGGGCATTACCTCAGTCTGGCGGGATACACAAAGACACAGACCCCCTTTCCTGACCCGCAGGCCTAAGTTCCTGAGCGCTGTCCTCATGGCCCCTGCCGCTGCGCGAGGGGTGGGTGCTGAGGGGCACCCACGAGCTCCAGCAGCCCGGAGCCGCGGCCGTCCCTGCATTCTCGGCTCCACACTGGAAAATCCCAAAGCTGCTCTTGTGGCCCAGTGGACCTGGCACAAGCTGTGAGCCCTCCTGTGCCCCAGGGTCCCCGTCAGGAAAAACAGGGACTACAAAATGCTGCCAGCTGTCGAAAGAATTTTGAGAGTTGCTGATAAAGAGATGAGTGCTCAGCATCAGAGCTGACGGGATCCTGCGCTGCAAGTTTCCATCAGCTTTTGGTACCTGAAAGCAATGAGTACCCCTTCCAGGTGCACTGAATTCCAGATAGCTGAAACTTTACCACGCTTTGACACGCAAAGATTTGTGAATTAATTTTACCATGGTAGCCCACACTCCGCACACGTCATACAGCATCATCAGGATATGGAGCTAAATAGTTATCAAATAGACACAGCAAATTTTATGTGGCGGTAGCTTTGCTTGTTTATTTGCACTAAAGGGCAATTTGGTACCTTTTCGGTATCGTCTCTGGTCAGGCTGT